TTTTGTTTTTTTGTGAAAATTTAATTTTTATCTATTGGCATTTTCAAGGTGTGACTTAAGAACCTCCACGAGCTTGAAGACCCATGCTAATCACATTTTCTGAAAATCCATGATACAGATCTTTAATATTAAAAACTGAGGGTCATTCTGCTGTTAAGCATTATGTAATATTGCATTAAAATAGAAGAAAACACAATTTTGGGTGCTGCTGCCATGATGACCATTATGGGAAAACCATGTTACTTATGATTGTCAAACTTTCAAAAAAGAAACTAAAGACTAAAATGCAGCCTGAGTTGGAAAAGCAGTCTAATTGGCTTCTTTTTCTGGAAGTTATACATTTTAGTAAAATATTCACTTTTATCATGTTGGCATATTTATTGTGGGACTCGAAGCTCCCATGGCCATAAAGCCAAATGGTAATCAAATTTTCTACATGCCCATGCTATTTATAGTCAATAATCAAAAATTGGTGATAATTATTCTGTAATTTATTATGTAATGTTACATCAAAATTGACAAAAATCTTTTTGCACTGCTACTACAAACATTATGAAAAGAGACTGTATTACTTATTATTATTTTCAACTTACAAGTATGATTTGTAGGATTGGCATGCAGTTCAAATAAGAAAGCCAGCTCAAATGGGTTATCATTTATTATTGAATTTAAGCAGTTTTATGTGAAATTTTCATTTTTCTCATTCTGGCATTTTCAAAGTGTGAACTTAAACTTCCATGGGCCTGAAGCCTTACGCTTGTTACACATTTCACTTACATTGGTATTACCTGTTGAGCATAATTAAAATTTGATGTTGAATTTGCAGTTAAGCATAATGTACTTTTGCATCAGAATTGACAGTAGCCTATTTTGTGCATTGTTATTGTCTGCTTTTTGTCTGTACATTTGACAGCTTTGCTGCCTTGTTTCTCATTCCTACCATCTCCAGCACACGTTCGTTAGAAATTATCTTCACCCATGATATCCTCGTCATTCTTCTATAGCACCACATCTCTGCTGCTTCTAGTTTCCATCTACAGCTTGAATTCATGGTCCAACTTTTGCAGCCGTAAAGCAGTGTTGACCATACATAGCACTTCAATAATCATAGTTGTAGAGTAATTCCGAGCTTCATGCCTGTCAGGATCGACTTCTTCTTTGTGAAGGCCTTTTTAGCAAGAACTATTCTTCTTCTAATTTCTTTGTCACATCTGCAGTCTGACGTCAACAGACTACCTGAATTGGCAACTTGATTCGTTTGTTCCAACTTCTCTCCATCGAGAAAGATGTTGCAACGAGGTGTTTCGGTCTTTTTGCTTAGTACCATGATCTTTGTTTTCTTTATATTGATAGTCAAACCTCTTTTGTGGCTTTCGGTTTGTAGTGAACTTAGAAGTTGTTGTAAATCTTGTGTGCTGTCGGCCATCAACACAGTACTGACAATATACCTATACAATATACCAGTACTAACCAGATATTTTCACGAAAAAAAGTTAAACAATTACAATTTCTTGGATACATGATTGTCACAATATCAGCTTATCAAATTCCTAATGAACAAATTCCGATAACCACAGTGTTAACTAAATTACCAATACTTTTCAACTACACGTGTTTTGTCATGAGTAACCATTGAATAAGAAATTTATATTTTATCTTTAACGATCTTAACTTACTAGTGACCGATTGGGGTGTTTTAATGCTAATATCATAGAAAAATAAATTTAAAAAAAACATTTCATTTTACTTCATAGGTTATTTTTGGGCTGAGATGAAGCAGTTGCGTCAACAAGGGACGCGTTACTTCCACAGCGCCTTCAACATTCTGGATATGCTCTTGATTATATTTTATTTTGCCTCGTTTGTCAGTCGTATAGTTTCGATTGTCAAGACAAGACAAGCCGCATTGGGAGTTAACCAAAATACAACAGAAGCGTACGCATATTATTACAAGAAAGGTTGGTTGAGCATAGTTTTCTGCACTACGCATGATTCAGGTTGTGTTATTCATGCCTTATATTTTAGTTACGTTCATCCATCCTGCTAGTGCAAAAGGTTTATGGAAACCCAGTCTTAGTTGATCGTTTATTATACATTTTTAAACGGTAAAGATATTCTCCAGGCGTACCATTTTAACACTTACTTTTTTGTATTTCAGGTCGGTTCGAATGGGAGCCAGATGATCCAGAAATAATTTCAGATGCCCTGTTTGCGTTGGCGAACATCATTAGTTTCTCTAGACTGGTGTACATTTTACCTACTTTTGAGTCTGTCGGCCCACTTCTAGTTGTTTTGGGTAAGTGCCCATATCATGATTAAAGTCATTATGCTTTTGTTATGAATATACCTACATGCATAAACATGGATACATTACAGTAAGGTTATTTTTTGTCATGGTTTTGACAAAAGAGAATGCCTCTCTTTCCTTCGTCATAGCGGCAGTATTTATGATGTGTCAAAATCTTCAAGTCAGATTTGTCTCTTGTTTGTCGTATTTTTTCTCATTATGACGTATGGACTCACGCTTTTTGAACAACACGTGACTTGTTAACTTTTAGGCAAGATGATCACAGATGTCTTTCGCTTTGCTGCATTGCTGCTAATTGTGTTCATAGCCTTCACGGTTGGACTGCACAACCATTACCACTTCTATGCGGGCCAAACACTCCCAGATGGGTCTAAGACTAATTCTGCATTCCACGGGTAACTATTTGTAGCCGCCGCGATGAAAACAGGTTCTAGTATATTTATCATAAATAGTGGACTTTTTTATTTTACTTGTATTATCTTATTTTAACATGGAATATGAATAATATTTTTCAAGGTCACTAAATGGACCATTTAAGTCGAGCACTTCTATGTTCATTTATTTTGCATTTTGTATACAGAAAAAAGTTTGCCATAGGTCTATTTGTATTTGCATATCTGTTTTAGCATAAAGCCCCGTACATTCACGTTTTTTCAGATTCTTCAACACATTTCGCACTCTAATGTGGTCCATCTTTGGCCTGGGAGACTCGAGTTCCGTAGAAATCCACATGAAGCACGAATTTGTGGAGATTGTTGGGTTCATCATGGTGGCTATATTCCATATTGTCATCGTTATTATGTTGATCAATATGCTCATTGCTATGATGACAATCTCTTTTGAAGTAATAAATGTAAGTATGGGATATTGAGTAGAATCGTTCATATTTTGTCTTATAGATTCATTACAATAAACCTAAGAAGAAGAAGAAGAAGAAGAAGAAGAATAGTAAAGCAAAATGAGCAGTATTATACGGTATGTTATCTCTACATGCACAATTCAAACTATTTACAGAACGATGCAGACATCGAATGGAAGGCTGCTAGGACAAGGCTATGGTTAGAGTATATAGGGGAAGGATCTACTCTCCCCATCCCCTTTAACTTAATCCCCAGCCCCAAATGGTTGTTTTATCTTCTCACCTGCAAGAAATGCAAGGGACCCAGTAGAAAGGTGCGTCATGGCTCAAATGGATTTAAATGACGAAAAATAAATAAATCGATTAATAATATAAAATGAAATAGTAAGAAATGGGAAAGGTTTGTTTTTTTTTTCCTTCAAATTCATTTTTGAACTGGATTGTACTGTTGTATCAAGGCGATATTGAAGTATGCCTTTAACATTAAATCCCAGAGCACTCTGGTAGAATTTTTCGTAAGCTTGTAATGTCGTAAGCTTGAAAAATAATAATTTAGCTTCAATAGTATAGCATAAATCCTAGATATCTTGATTGAGTCACTATAGCAAACTATAGGGGATGTTGGAAAGATGAACTGAAATCATAATCAAACAACTGTTACTGTTGAAAACGCTGTTTACCTCCAACATTTTCGATATCTAGAACATATTTTCTTTATATCGTTTCTTTAGAAGTGCAGCAATTATTATATTATTTTTTATATGTAATGTTTTATTCCCAACATTATTATAAACCAAAAAAAAAAACTTCTAAATGATAATAATATAACTTACTTCAAATAACATGGGACATTAACTTGATGGTGAATTTGATAGACGAGCCTATTTTTGAGATTTAACACTCCTGCCTTTTTTCGTGCTTCAGAAAATTGAAGAGAAGGACAGAAAACAGCGCACATTTGACAAGAAATATCGAGACATCATGAAAAACCTGAAAGGAAGGTATAGAAAGAAAGCTGAAGAGGAACAGAAAAAAGATGTCGTGATATCCACCCAGACGGCGAAGCCTACAGGTACTTGTAAAAAAAATTGAATATGAAAAAGGTCTTTATCTGCATGACATTGGCAATTGGGACGTGCGTGTGACTACAATATAGTTAACATCTGTCGGGCATGTTGTAACATTTTTCATGATATACACAGTACGCAATGTTGCAAATTTAATTTAAAAAAGAACCACGATTGAATCATTTTGGATCAAAAATTTGCTAAAATTCAGGTCTAAAAGCTGACTCTACCTTTTTGTCTTCATCTGCAATCAATGTAGGACCCTTCATAGTTCAATTTTTTTACTGTAAACCAAGGGTGTTGTGTTTTTGATCCGTTGACTGTCATCACTGTCAACCGGGCAATGTTACAGACGGACGACCATTAACAAACCACTATCTTTTCAACCCATCTTTCTTTCAGTCAATGGAACAGCAGGATGATGAAAACAGCTATCGGAACGACGGGATGATGAAGACATTAGCTAATGGAACAGCGGGATGATGAAGACATTAGCTAATGGAACGGCGGGATGATGAAGACATTAGCTAATGGAACGGCGGGATGATGAAGACCTGCCATTAGGTTTTGCAGTCTTGATAATTAGCAAATTGTACTTACATTTAGATAATTGGTTTTAAGAAGTGCGTTTATATTATTTGGACATTATGATACAGATTGGTTTACGTACAAGACACTGCATTCTTTATTTTAATTGCTCTTTATATTATCGTCAATATAACACGTACCTTTCTAATTTGAGGTGAGAAAGCAATCGGTATGGTGCGTAAAACTTCATCCCTGAACGAGACTTTATCAAGGGAATTGGCAAAGTTGTCCACAAGAGAATAGGCTTCATTTTGTTTAAATGTTTTTGTTATGAAGTTATGAGTTCATAATTACTTATTTTCATTAAACAAAGGCACTATTACTGTTTTTGCTTTGTCAACAATAAAATCTGAACTAAGGCTTTCAAGAAAAAAAGGGCGTTGAAACGGTGTTTGTGGGTGCACATGCAGGTAAAGAGGATATTTGAGAAACCGATTCCTTTCAATTTACCCCGAATTTGCACTTGTGACGTCACCATAAGATAATATAGATGATACAGTAACTGATAACTGAATATTTTTTGCTAATACAGAAGAATGTAGGGTAGTAAATAGCTTTTTGGCAAATGGTAACAGTATCCTGAATACTTTCAGTGTTCAAACGTAATCAAGGTAAAAACATTAGAAAATGTATGGTTTTCGCATAAAGACATCTCGACGGAAAGTCAAACACTGGAAAACATTAATCATTATAATGGCGTTATGTATATGAAGTGAATATAGGTATGTTTACCTTGGAAATAATACTTATAAAGAGATGTCCCCGTTTTGATTGTTCACATCATATATATAACGCCATTTTAATGATAAATGTTTTTTTTTTTCTGTGTCGAAATGTCCAGTACGTCTTAGTGCAGTTGTACTGATAGCTCAGCTATTTTTTATGAGTTTTCAAAGAAAACTTTACATAATGAACATAATATTTTGAACCTGTATGCCTACACTGTTTAGTTCTTAGATACGCGACATGCAACTTTTCATTAGCTCTCCAACGCAGTCATACTTCACTATGTGAATGGACTACAGTTTGATCTGCAAGTGACCACAATTCCTTGTCACAGGAGCTTGAACTGAATGAATTCTGCCTGTTGTACCGCTGGGTATTGACTTTGTACATGACATATACGTGATTTATGCTTTGATGTAAAATGGTTCGTAACTATTCTACCGGCATGGGTTTTATTTTTAAAGGGCAAGTTGTTTATCATTGATCTTAAATCATTATGCATTTGAAAACTATGCAAAATATAATTCCTAAGTATGAATATGTAAATATTCCGAATAAAATTGAAAGACAATAAAGGCATCAAGTAAAAAAAAAAGTGTAATATTTTGGGAATAATACTGGGTCAGCTACTGCGTCCATGCACCAATTACACTTCCTAGTAGGCCTTCACTTGGTGTCGTCCNTATCTTTAAAACTAGCAGAGATGTGCCCATTGTTGTCCCTAGGTTTTCTCTTTTGTCAGCATATATGCACCACTGACAACACATTTCAAGGAAAACCAACAAGACTTTTGTCTAGAGAATACAGGAGTGATCAAGGGTAGGAAAATGCAAGTCAATTAGAAAATCTGCTTGATTGTACCATTTTTAGTTATATTTTTTTGCATATTTTGAGAACTCTTGTTGATTGCATTTTAAAGAGCTTGTCAAGCACAAGACTGGTGATGGTGTCCCTTTTTGGAGGGGGGGTTACTCCAGCTGGTGGTACAATATCCGGAGGCGGTATCGCCTCTCTGATCCTCTAGTTTTTTTGGCTTAATTTTTACATTGTTAAGAGCAGGCTAATTTTTTTCTCTGATTCTAGAGGCTCCTGTACATTTTGTCAGGGTGGGAAAGAAATCCAACTGATGCTATCGAAATATGTGAGCACAGTGGTAGTAAGAAATTTAAAAGGGGGAAGACATCAGAAAACAAACATTTCATAAAGTGAAGCGCTGTTTATTGACTCAAAAGCATTCTTACCCTCCTTTCTTTACTGTAGAGGCACTCAAAGAGATCTGTATATGCATCTCTTTGATACATTTAATTGCATCTGTTCAGCTGAAATTCGCTTTTGAAAATTTATCCATTTTCCCTAGAAAAGAATATCTATAACATGTATTATATGATATTTCTCAATTGCAAGCTAATTGACAAGTGCTTGAAACTTGTTTAACACCACAGGAAAGTAGGGTTGCACATTTCTGTTTCCAATCACTACAGACTGCCACTCAAATAGTAAACTGAAGTTTCAAAAATTACATTTAACCAAAAGTGAAAGTCACTAATTGTTTTATTATACCATTTGAAAACTGAATGTCAATGTCCTCCTATAAGTCCTTGCTATATCAGCAATGTTTGTCACATGACTGATAAGTTTCTGTTACGCTGATTGGTCACAAACCATGGTTTGCATCATTAGGTCCATATAGTTTAGTGATTATGTCAGAGGTCAGTACTGAGTTTAATCAGACCTCATATTCCCAGATGTAAGATCACTGACTATGTTAATAATACAATTTCTCCAACCCCTCACAACCATGTTATTAATTATAAGGTTAATGTAAGGTCGACACCGTCATGGGCGTAACTAGGCATACGCACTGATGCACTGTGCGTACAATTTTTTGGACAACCATGATATTATTTTATATAAATTTAGTGTATTTTTCACGGAATATAAAAGAAAATCCTCTGCTTATTAAAGTCACCTGTATGTACAAATCCTCTGTATCAATTGTATAGGCACNTCCGTCTTGCAAACTGAGGTAAACAATGCCTGTAACCTTAACAAGTCCTATCTTAATCATCCATCTAACTGAAACTTCCTTTACCTCTTAATTGGAGGGTTCGGTGGCCCTCAACTTTTCTGTACCCTCTTTCTTGAGAATATTGAACGCATTCTCGCTGGCGATATTTATCTCAGGTAAAAATCTGCCTGAGTGTTATTTTCAAAGAGCAGCTCCCTCAACCCTGGGGGCACTAGACAAAATCTGGACACCAGGTTTAAGAAGGAGCTAGAGAAACAAAGGAAGAATTTTTCCTGCAAAGCTTCAAAGAATTTTGACACGGACTTGACCTAGCTTACCCCTCCAAACTAACAGGGTGACATGGGCAATTGTTACAAACAAATGATTAAACTTAAATGTATCAGAGCTCTGTTGTGTCGTACAATTGGTTGTTTTTGGGAGCCATGCATCCACATGTAAGGTGAATGAAACCGTACGTTAGTTCAACTCAGAGGTGGATCCAGGATTATTCGAAGGGGGTTCCACATATGGGAAGCTAGCCTCCTTTTAAATAAATATACCGTTCTGGGTAATAAAAATATTGAAACTTTTTTAATTGCGAGAATATTTCTGACTAAATGATGATTTATTATTCATGGATATTAAGCTGCGATGTGTGGTACATATGCTGTAATTACGCTGTCCTTCATCTCTTGCGTTAGTCTACATTTTGCTAGGAATTTTAAAAATCTGTGTGTACACCCCTGACCGTCACATGCGTGACCTGTATGGATCCCTTATTTTTTTTTTTTCATAACACTGATTTTATTCAACTTAAGTCTTTTTTTTTTCGATATATATGAATGCTTCTTAACCTACTTAAAGTTAGTATAAACAAATGATGTTTCTGACACAAGAGTTCTAGTGTTAGTTAAGCCTGTTACAGGTCTAATAGTTTCTGCATGACATGGTCCCAGCTGGTCCCTATCTCAAGTGTGGAGTACATCATGGGGTGGGCTTTGTCCATGTTCTTGCAGTACCTTCCTGCCAGTTCAAGTCCAGTGAAAACCTGTTCCTGCTCCATGTCTTTCATGGACAGCTTTTTTAAGAAATCTGGTAATGTTTCTTCAAGAGTGGCTTGCATTTCCTTGAAGCTGACAAAAGACTTAGTAACAGTTTGAACTATCTGGGTTAAAGTCAGCAGGGTAGCTAGTAGTCTGTACACATCTTGAGACACTTTCTTTCCTGAAACATTGAAGAAAATCATTTAATTCTTTTTGTCCATTAATTTAGTGTTCACTGGCAACTTTGATCCCGAATGGTAAATTCCTCATAGTGAGATTTCAAAAAGGTGAAATATCTTGCATTTGACAATCAAATCAAATGCTATGTGAATTTCTGAAAACCCACATTAAAAAAAAACATTAGCCTTAATAGCGAGTTGTAAATTATTGTGTTCTTAGTAGTACTTAACATGTAATTCTAATGCTGGTGGTGTTTGACTCACCTAAAGACATCACTCCAGCATCTGCAAGCATGCTTCTACAATATTCAATGGAAATCCCAAGCAGTCTGCCCAATACTGGTGAAAACTCCCAGTAACCATATTCCTAAATAGCATCAACTCAAACTTCAACACTATATTTAAAAACAGACAATCTAAAAGACAAAACAAATGTGTTTTACAAAAATGTTATCCTATTTTGAACAGGGTTACTGTGTTACTTTTCCTTAAAAAAAAAAAGAAATCTTCTCTAAATTCCAGTTGGTGGTACAGTTTCAAAACCTATGTCTTGACAATTTAGCTGATATGATATTTTGTAATCATTGACCATTTATCATTTATTTGCACTTTGTTTTCGTCACAGATATGTACCTTATTTTGAAGCTTAAATAACTGCATCCAATCACTCTTCTTCATTTCTTTTAACAAGCATATTCCCATAAGGACAGGTGGTACAGGGGTATTTCCACCACCACTGTGATAGCCCTCCGAAATCACTGAACTACTATCTGCTGGAAAAATATATATTATATGCTCATAAGGAATAAACCAAAGAAATACTGGATAGGGATGAACAGAATAATAAGTGATATTTTAAAGATGAGAAATCATCAAAGTTGTGCAAATAATTAATTTTAATTAAATTAAACATTAAAAATGCACTTCGTCATCCTTTCCAAAATTACAAAATCTGTTTAGGAATTCAATTGTATTCTACTGTATATATCTGTCACAGGCAAGATTGGCAGTTTTGCTTAATTTGCCTGGATTTCAATCTGACCTGTGACATAGTCATAATAGAGGCTGTCCGGGCTCTCAACGAGAAGACCAAGTTTCCCCGTGATTTTACGAGATCTGCCTTGAGGTGGGGTTAAAATATGGAGTCCACAAGGAAGTAGAGCAGCNTTAAAGGTACATACGAACCGAGCATCGGTGGAGTGTGGATTCCCAGTAACACATGTAAACCACTTCTACTAGATTCTTATATGACTCAAATAAATTTGACATGCCAAGGGATAAACTGAATAGATCACTCGATCAGCCATAAAAGACCTTTAGACTGCTCCTTTCTTTAAATTTTTGGTTGTAAATTTAACCTACTTTTGTGACCTACTTTCCTGCCCCATTGACATACAGCTTAGAATGCCAGCAGAAAAATCCGTTCAAACATCATTTTCGGGTAAAAGTAAATAATGCCTTTTGGTAATTCTCTTAGTTATACTACTTGAAACTATATGCTGGCTTTTGGTTGGTTTTTGTGACAAAAAATTGACTTTGTATGCATCTTTAAGTGACAGGAAAGATGACAAAAGAAAGTATTAAAATGGACAACATATAAGTTGAAATTTTCACAAAATCATTGCATTTTATTGACAGTTATACACAAATGCAACAAATAAACACATCACAGGCGAACTTGTATTTGTGATCTGAGTAAATGATATGAAAAACAGGTGTCATATAGTTATTAAAAAAGTCACTACAGTAACATAAGAATGATACTAGCAAATAAAATAATTTTCTTCATTAAATCACTAGTGCAGTACAATACATAGGCCTATATACATATATATATATATATTCATAAAACCAAATATTTCACTTTAAAGTAATAAAGAAAATGCCTGATACTGTAAGTGACACCCAGAAAAAAATGCCATCTGTTGACTCCTGATATAATTAAGTAAACAACATAATAACTAAGGACATAAGAGATTAATATACACTGAGCAATCTTCAACATCTGATTATTCTGACCACACAACTCTCGCAGTTCTTGCCTGGTTCAATAACATGTGCTGTGTCTGTCATTCTCTAAAATAAATAAAAAATAACTCACTTAGTTTTCTGAAATATATATCATTATGTGATAAACGTTGTTGTAAAATATCAACTCTAATTTCCACCTTACTTGCAAATTGCAATTATCATAACTGACCACCCGGCATGGAATATTACAACTGAACATTGTGTATACTTAATAGGTGTGGAAGGTTCACCAGTATTTCATAATCAGGTACACGTTATATGGAGATAGGAATGGTACAAGCAAATTTGTCTGATATAGTTACCGTAAAAGACTATTAATCACAAGTACTAGGGCTGTATTACATTAATAAACCATGGTGTCCTGTAAACTACACACAAAACTTACTTATTAAAATGCCCCTCGACCGTTGATGATACGGTCTGTCCGGTGATGCCATGGAGCCAGTGACGTGCAGGGTGCGAGTTGTCTGCAGTTGGTCCCTTTCTTTCTACAAAATACTGCGACCTGATCTGTACTTTAAATATTTCGGTATTTAGTCCTTTTAATCTAATCAAGCCCAACTTCTCTTTCTTCACTTCACTTCTCTCGCCAGTCGTGTCCATCATCCATAGTCATTTTCCTGGTTTTCTCGCTTACCTTTATCTGCAATGCACCCTACGACACAACATTAGCAATTCGCCATTGCGTTGCTCTATCTCAAATTACATGACAACGCCAAATTTTACTCAATGCAATCCTAAAACATAGACTTGTGCCTGACCGCGAGAGAAGTTTCAATGGCAGATTTTAACCCCACCTCTCGTGAAATCTCGCTCCAATCCAGGTCTCGTTTGACGTCATCTGCTGCGCAGATGTTCAAAATAGGCTATCCCGGACATCCCCTATTAATTCTACGTCACATTACTCCCAGTAAAACGTGCGCCATTGGACTGGTTGCGATAATAAAATATCCGCATTGAATTTTATGCGCGTGGGTGGATAGATTAAACTTTTTGCATCTCGCCATGTAAAGTAATGCATTTTTAATTTCACCCCAATATTTCTTAGAAAATTTTAAATTATGGTGATCATACAAGATGGTGATAGGTCTACTAAACTGTAGGTATACTAGCATTCGAAATAAAAAAAAAATATATATATATTTTATGTGATGAAGGTCCAATGAATTGCTGCACTTTCTAGGAGGGATCTTCTTGTTACTACATGACTGACAAAACCCTTTATCTGTCATATTATTAGTGTCCTCCAGCCGTAGGTAGACATACTTTTTCAAGTAGATGAATATGAAAACTATATACTTCTTTTGGTAGTTAGTCAACCCTATCCTCCTCACACAACTTCCTTTTTTAGTGCCTGGATTAACCGCTTTATTTTTTATGTCATATTTCCTGACTTTCTCTGACCATTCTTCTAGCTGAAATAATAGGGGAAATTTATCTCCTCATTCGGACTCTCTGTTTTGCCATAGTTGTAACGAAACTAAGGGCTTGGGGGATACTTCCCACTAGTGCGGTTTTTAAATTTAAAAATGCAAATTTACATCCAGTGAGTAAATTGTCGAATTACAATATGTGAAAAGAAAAGACATTGAGCAAGGTTAGTATATCACTATAGATTTATGAAAATGGCCCAAAGTCAGACTTACCGGTTCGCGTTGGGGAGGCTTTACTCCATAAAATGCCTTCTCGTTGCCCAACTTCATTCGAATATTTTGTTAGTTAGCTTATATTCAGCTACACCTATGTTGCACTATGATGTGAAACTGCGAGCAAGATTACGCGAGATTTTAGAAGGACTGAAAGGGTCTCCAGGCCATCAAGCGACAGATCCCCGGATTATCGAAAGATTGGCAACTGAATGGTCTGGTTGTTAAGTATGAGAGTCACGTAACTGAAACCCCATCCCCCGCCGCCGCACTCGTCACGACCGCATAAAATTGAAGTTAATTAACATAATGTGAGTAATTTTGTTTTTTGAACATCTGTGAGTATTGTGTTAGTTGAGACTGCTTTATATTGCTACCAGTAGATGTCTCTATCGGTTTTAAGTACAGTCCGGTGTACATATTTGATCCTCTTCCTGTCACGCAGGTAAAACAGTTCACTGTATAAGTTACTATAACTCACTTTGATTGGCGCACGTATGTATAACTGAACCTTTATGTACGGGGTTGTATAAAATGAATTGTTCGCTTAAAGTCTATGAGCCAAAGGCAAAAAAAAAAAAAAAAACGATTTGGCAGCAAAGTGTGGCTTGATGGTCCAGAATTGTTATTTGCGATTATTGAAGGGCAGCTCGAGGATATTTATTGGGCTAATATAAGTGTAACTTCATATGGCAATAAGAAAAATCCTTTTAATAAACAGAAAAAAGTATTGATCGCCCAAAGACCACCAATATAGTAAATTTACCGCAATAGTATAGAAAAGTAGATTATGTTTCAATTATGATATGAAAATATTGTTACTTAACCTTCAAAATAATTTATTTTATTAAAAGTAATATTGTTAGTTGATTTGGGGATTTTTGGGATTCAAGTCACTTATAAAATTACATTAAACCAATTAAATGTTGACATCAAGTCTAAAATGCCCATTTTCTGCACATTTCGCCGACTTACGCGCCTACACACACTGGACAAAAGAAGTGTCACCCCTACTGAGCCAAAACTATGAAGGAGATAAATGACTGTGGAATGATATGCTCCTGGTATCATTTTATTAACATCAAATTTCACAAAAAATCACAAAATGAGAACAAAATATACATTCTACCAAAATATGCAGTTTCAAGTCCAAAATTAGTACTTAGTGGCATAGCCACGTGACCTAATAATAGGTGCCAGTCTACGAAGCAAGGTTTCATATAATTGTCTGATGCGTTCAGGGCTTATGCTGGCCCAAGCATGAAACACTGAATATAACAGAGTTTCTCTGCTGGTTAGACGGGCATTTGAGAAAAGTTTTGACATATCATTCCACACATTTTCTGTTATGTTTGCATCCGGACTCTGGGCAGGCCACATCACCCTGCGAATGTCCTGTTGGTCAAACCAATCAGCAACTGCTCTGGGCCTGTGACAAGGAGCATTGTCATCCTGGTGAACAAATG